GGCACTTGTCTCCAATGTGTTTGTTAGCTTGAATATAAGTCACATTAGTTCATTGGTTCTTGTCAACATAGCATTTACATGGCTCTTTGCAACTATACATAACTTGAATATTATAGCTGATGAATTAAAACATATTTTTCAGTTCAAAATGGTCCTTCTATATCTTTTAATACCATAATGTGCTTGTCCGTTTCTATGAGTACGACAAAATACTTTTGTTATGAAAGAACAACGGTTTGCTGCATCGTTTCTATGTAATTACACTGTTCATTTCTTGCCCGTAACACTTTTTTTTTGCATTACCCTCTTTTCAAGTTATGCAGCCTAAGAATGTTATTTGTTTCGTGGCTATGCAATTTTCGAATTCTGATTTATTTATTTTCGTGTATGCAGACTGTGAAGCTTCCATCAGCCCCCAGACAGGTCGATAAAAATCCATCTCAGCGGTTGCTTCAGGTCATTGGTATGGATTCTCATCATCCTTGTCCAAAAATTTAACATATTCGTATTTAGAGTGAAGGGGTTAGCCTTCATCTATTGAGATTTTTTTAAAGATTGTAACCGCTTTCATTTTCATTTATAAGATCATTTTGTCCTATTTTTTTTATTTATAGGATCAAATTCTTTTTGCGCACATGAAATTTTTGTGACCAGTGACATCAATCACACCCCGTGTAGATAGTTATTTGTCTTATTACCGTGTTTGACATAATTTGCTGTGTAGTTTATTGACATAATTCTTGTTGTGATGGCGCAGGCAAAGATATGAGAATTATTGTCTTTGGCTTTCGACCACGGACAAAACAGGTTAGTCGTCAAACTGTGCCCGTAATTAGGTTTCTGCTAAAATTTTCAGTTATTTATTCTTTATCAAATTTCTTGATCTAAGTTCGTATTTATCATATGTCAAAAAAATAATGTTGAATAGTACGTTAGATATGTTAAAATTGGAATTTTTAATTAATTAGCACATAATCCATAACCTTTGTCGAGAATCCTGTGACTTTCAGTGCTTACTAACTAACGCCCAGAAGATATGAAACCTGAATACTGATTAGTATAGTAACTTGTATTGAATATATAACGTGTTAGAATATTTAATCGGGTTAAAATTTCACAAGTGCTTGCAATGTAGCACTGTTCTTTTATGTAGTTCAATGGTGAATTTCATGACATGAAAAAATAAAATTAAAAAACAATTATGTATTATTCCATTTCATAAAATACAATCTCTGCTAACTCTCTCGACCACAATGATTTTTTTCACTATAAATGTTTAAGCTAACTTCCTCATAGATTCATTTCACCAGCTAAGTTGCAACAGTTTAATATTTGTAGATAAAATGTCGATCTTCTTTTCATTGCATGAGTTAATAAATACAACCGTCCTTTTTTTTAGAATTCTTCAGCTATTTTATGATGATTTTTTTTTGGCACGCGAATTCTTAAATTTAGTAGTTGTTTCAAAATGAAACCATTTAATGAAATAACGTGGTGATTGTTTTGCAGAGGCGTGGTGTATACGATGCACTAGTAAGGTGCAGTAGGCCAGCTAGACTTTGGGATCTCTATGCGTTTGTTCCCGGCCCATCAAAATCCAGCAGTAACACAAACCCTAAAGTTCGGCTATTGAATGAGTATTTTCGACTTCTCGGATTAGGCTCGTATCAGGCTTCTTCTAGAATAGTCGAGGATGGCTCGTACACATTGGCTAATGACTGGTGGAGAATAAGTAGTATTAATTCTAATTACGCAATGTGCCCTACTTATCCTTTTGCGTTGCTTATTCCAAACACCATCAGGTAAAGATAATTTTTCTCACTTTTTTTTTTAATCGCTTAAGTCACTGCTAGAAATATCTTTAATTATTTATCGCGTATTTCTTTTGGCAAATTTCGTCAGTGATGCAGAAATACAGCAGGCTTGTTCTTTTCGTGCACGGTGTAGGTTGCCTGCAATATCCTGGTGTCATCCACGTATGTTCAAATTTATTTTATTTTATTTGTTTGGCAACAAATAGTTTTTATTTTTTATTTTTTATTTTATTATTATGATGTATGTTTAATTTGGTCTGATTGGTGATGTGTAGGGACGGGAGCTGTTCTTGCACGTTCTTCGCAACCGATGGTTGGCCTGATGATGAATATGAGAAGGTAAGTTTTCAGAATTTGAAATTCTTGCAAACTGTCTTATAGAATCTTCCGCTATGATTGTACCTAGGCATGTATTGGATTGGAATTAGCGCTCTCAGAAAAATTCCTTTTTTTTTGGTAGTGAAAAATTAATTCCAATTCCGTTCCAAAAAAAATGAAAAAATCGGAATGGAAATACTTGTCCAAAATCGAAAATTTTCGGGCAGATTTCGGAATTTTCATTATAATATTAAATAGATAATAATACTCATATTTAATGGGTAATTTTTGGAAATTAAAATCAGGTCATAATTCGTAACTGTTTTACCAAGTCTGTTTTTTAAAAAATCAAAAAAAATAAAAAAGCGAAACTTTTGGAATCCTGAATGAGAAACATTATTCCAAATTTTGATATATTTGGATAGGAATCGACGGAATTTCGTTCCAATTTCCACCCTAAATAGTCACTATAGCAATGTGAGGTAGTAAGTGTTGAAAGATATCTCTTAGTCTCGTTTCTCGCTCTTAAAGCATCTCTTAATTCTTTTTAATTCACACTCTCTCTGCAGCAATGTTGATGAGAAACTAGTTGCTGCTCTCTGGACGCAAGTTGTTGGAATTCGGGAACGGAGGAGGTGACTTTTTCTCATTTAATTTATAATTCTGTTATAGGTTTTTATTTTCATTTTATTTTATTTCAGTTTGAGATGTTTACGTAACACAGTCCCATTATGTATGTTTGGGAAAATTGTTCTAATAAATCTATATTTTCATTTTAGGAAGCTATATATCGCCGATGCAAGACCTAGGAAAAATGCTTTAGCAAATGGAGCAATGGGAGGTGGATCAGAGTCGTCAGCAAATTATTCACAATCCGAGGCCCGTCAATATTTCGTGTTGTGTAATTGTTATTTTTATTATTATTATTATATTTTTTTTAATGTTCTCCTGTTTTGAAATATTTTCAGATTGTATTCTTTGGAATAGACAACATACACGCTATGAGAGAGAGTCTCGCTCGGCTTAGAGACTATGTAGATACTCACGGCGCCATTTCATCTGATGGGATGTCTTCATACCTGGTACCATTTTTTAGTCCTCTATAAAATTTGCTAATTTGCTGCTTTCAGAGAATGCAAATTCTACTATAGATTTGTTTGGCTTTCCTAAATAATGTCCGACTTTTCTACAATATTCTCTGTTTCATCTTGACATTTCTATTACATTTCTATTATAACATATATATTTATGAAGCCATTTGCAGCAATAACAATGATAGAGAGAGATTTATGTTGTTCTTTGTTCTTCCTAGTTTTTTTCCGGTCAAACTGATTTCTGGTCAAACTGTCATAAATGGGTATTTACATTTGTGGATATAACAATTTATAGCTAGAGTTAACAATTAGTATATATATGTGCTTCTCTTATTATCGTTGCGTTTTTTTTAATTACTGATAGAGGCAGTTTTTTTTAATTATTGATAGAGGCATGGTGGATGGACTTGGGGAGGAGGAAATCTGAGTAGTATGTCGGCTTCTGTCTCGACTCTTGGAGACAGTGGTTGGTTGTCACATGTACAAAGTGTTTTGGCTGGTTCAGCTTGGATTGCTGCTCGTGTGGCTCTTGAATCAGCTTCAGTGCTTGTTCATTGTAGGTAGGATATCTTCACACATACTCACTAGTAGAATCATCATCAAATTTTATTTTTATTTTAAATTTTATTTCATCCTTAAGATAACGATTTATGATTTTCATGTAGACAGTTGGACTTTAGTTGTGTAAGAGCTAAATATATGCATTGTATATATGTGCACAATTAATCCACTTTAAAATGCTTCAAGTTCGAGGTTCTTATTTGTATAGTTTACTAAATTATATTTAAATTCGCATTCCGTCTTATAAGCTTTGGAACAATCAGATACCCACCGCTAGTTGTTTTGATCTTTCAAATCCTTATGAAATTATGTTTTGTAGTGACGGATGGGATAGAACAACTCAGTTGGTCTCTCTTGCAAGTTTGTTGCTCGATCCATATTACCGAACGATCAAAGGATTCCAGGTATTTACCATCTAACTGTACTACTATATTATATGTTTATCGTACTTAAATGTTATAGTGATATTTAGAAACATATTTAAGAAACATATTTATTTTTTCAGACTAGACTAAAAAAATTCTTCTCGTTCAGGCACTAGTGGAAAAAGACTGGCTTGCATTTGGCCATCCGTTTTCCGATCGGTTGGGAATACCAACAGTATCAGGAAGTGACAGTCTTCCCTGTGAATTTTCAAGACAGTCTTCTACGGGGAGTATGTCACCCGTGCGACAAACATCCACCTCATCCGCATCTCAATCCACATCTTCGCATGCACAAAACAATTCCTCACCCATCTTTTTGCAGGTAAATTAAATGTCCTCGAATTATTCACGTCTACAAAGAAAGCTAGATATTTTTCTTTGCGGTTATTAATCCATTTTCAATTTTTGTTCTCCAGTGGATTGATTGTGTTTCACAGCTGTTACGAATGTATCCTTTCGCCTTCGAGTTCTCCTCGGTAAGTACCTATCATTGTTACACGTCAAAATAAATCTAATTCCTCAATAGTAAATCAACAATTGCTTGACCTCCCTTTTTCGTTTGGGAACGCAGGTTTTCCTCGTGGATTTAATCGATTCCATGCTTTCTTGCCGTTTTGGAAATTTCTTCTGCAACAGGTATATAAACCTCTTCTTGTTGTATTTTCATTATTCTACTACACAGTTTTTGCAGCTTAGGAGAGTTAATTATATTCTTTTATTTGTTTTTTTTATCTTAGTGAGAAAGAAAGACAACAAGCTGGTGTTTACGACGCATGTGGATGCCTGTGGATGTATTTAGCTGATTTGCGGGTTTCAGACGGAAGGTCCCACGTGCACTATAACCACTTCTACGATCCATCAAAGTTCCAAGGTCCGTTGTTGCCTCCTGCCGCAGCATTAGCCCCGACACTTTGGCCTCAGTTCCACCTTCGATGGGCTTGTCCAGCAGAAGCCCAAGCCGGGGAGATTGAAGCACAATGTAGGGACATGGCTAAAAAAATCTCAGAATTGCAGAAGGTAATATAATTTTTTTTTTTTATTGTTGGTTATTTAGTTTTCTTTCTATTTTTCAATTTCTTTGTCATTGATGTCAAAGCTTTCAATTGTTTGGATGATATGATCGATAATTGTATTTCCTAATGTTAGTGTAACGTTTGGATATTATTGAATATTATTTTAAACCAATTAAAATTTAGGGATGAACCCGATATTTTGGAGCCCCTAAGCATACCTCTGTCACGGACTTGATTTTATAACTTTCGTGCGATCTTATGTGCTTTTTCGAACATTTGCAGGCAAAAGATTTAGCTGAGGCGAAAGTTAGAGAATCGGCAGCTACGATAGAGTCTCTAACAGACGATTTACGAAACGAAAAGATCAGCAGCAGCTCGGCAAAGGATTGGGGCAAGAGATCGAAAAAGGAAACCGAAGCTATAAAGCGCGCAATCCAATCACTCGGGTGCAAAGTCCACTTCTCCGAAGATGGTGACTGCTTCGTGGGCATCGAAAACAACCCAACAGAAATCCCTCAAAAATTGCCCTTTTCGGTTTCCGAGATGCACGACCAGAATCCAGACGCTTCCGCCCGTGCTGACGTGGCGGACGACGATTACGACAGTCCCATAAGCCGTGTCTGCGAATCTTTATGCCCTTTGCGCACGAGAGATGGAGGGTGCAGATGGCCGGAAGCTGGTTGTGCTCAATTCGGAAGTCAGTTTGTCGGTTTGAAGGCTAATTTCGACGCGTTTGAGACACTCTCTATATATGACAGCTATTTTGAGTCGCAATAGAAGCTTCCGATTTTTTTGAACTAACAAATACTTGAATAAATTGAAGAGAGAGAAAGGAAAAAAAAATCAATATGGGGCCCACATATTCGACATGGGTTTTTGGGAGAGTAGGGTATTATTTATTATACATGGTGAAAATAGAGAGAGTTGCTTTTGTTGGTCAGGCGGAGATAGGGAGGTAGAAGTTACATTGTTCTCTGAATTAAACGAAACTATAAAAAGACTGACGATGAGGTTACATAATAGCGTGTAATGATTGTTGTATAGATTCTTGATTTTTTAGTGTTTAGCTAAAGATCGATTGTTGTGTTTTTTAGACGAATAAATTCTCCATTGTTAACTCTCATTCTTGATTTAATAAACTTGAAGTTCTGGGATTATTCGCCTTTGTCCGTAATATGCATGATTTCTAGGTGGTTTTGTCTTGAATCAATGGTGGATATGTAATATGGTTTCATTATGTGAAATATTTGTGAAATTTCGGTATGTTCATGGAAACTCTCTTTAAATTTGTAGCTTCAAATACTTTCGTCGTGTAAATTTAACCGACTGTTTGTCATTGTTAATACTATATTTAGGACGATAGCTGATGCATATTGGAAAATGAAATTTTTTTAGGGAACTTAACAAATTGGGATTTGATAAATGCGGTTCTATTTTTACGAATACCGTTTTAATTTTCGAAACTTTCTTTACTCTAGGGTTTGAAAAGTCTGTATTTTTGCGTATCCATGCCTTAAACAGGTGAGAAATAGCATGTTTCACGCCCAAAACGAGAGTGGAGAAATATCATTCATGAACATGTTTCACTTGAATGAACGGTATTCGTAAAATTAGACCCGTAAATATCATTTCAATTACAAATTTCTAGGTGAGTTCTAGCATTGCCCAACTCTTTGAAGTACATTTAGTATAGCCTTCTATGGATAAAAGAAGTAGCCATTGGTTGTTCATAATTAGTTGTTGAAAATTCATCTTATTTTCTATATTAAAAATAAAATTAGTATCTTATTGAGATAAAATCAAATAAATAAATGTATGAGTTTGCATAAAGTCCAATATCGTGACACCTCCAAACTTAATAGAAAAATGAATTAGAAATACTTAGAAAACTCATAAATATTCTAACTATTTTCAATTTTTGTTACATTATCAATTATGAATACACATTTCATTTTTAGTAATTTAAATATAAAAAACTCTTGTAAATTCATTTTTCAATTCAATTTGCAATTTAATAATTATCGTCAAACCAATTACATGAACCACAAAGATCGGCAAACCAATTGAGCCAAAGGAATTTGCGATCTAGTAACTATGGTTAAACCAATTACACGAACCACGAAGATCGACAAAAATCCATTGAGCCAACGATTCTGTGAAAAAAAAAACGATTACAAGCAGATTGCAAAGTATAACGTGAAGGAAAAATAAAAAAACGGGGGGCATTTGGGAATAAAAAAAAAAAAGAACCTTGACAAGAGCATTTTCCGGAAACCTTAGTATTTTCACTTAAGTAAAGAACTGCAATATTTCTTGTAGGAATAAAAGGTACATTAATGATTACAAGTAAAAGTAAAAAAAAAACTTGCGAATTTTCCCAAAACGATCAAACGGCTTAATCATGCGCCGGAGGAGGCTCGTCGTCGTCCGGCTTCTTTTGTCCCTTCCTTTCGTTCCATCTCTTCCAAGCCCACCTCAACACCACAAATCCTCCAACCGCATATACCTATTTTATGTATATTTCCACATTAAACATCAAATTTCTGTTTACGTAAATGCAATAAGAAAGATTTAATAAATACCCCAAATAAATGATACCGAAAAGTAGTTGGCCTTAAAACGTTTTGCCTAACTACAACCATGCACATGTGAAGGCACTCGACAAGTATATAGTTTTTGGTTTACCGCGCAAGTTGACTACCATGTTCGGCTAATGTTTTTTTCTTGAAATGGTATATGTCTATTTTCTCTCTCTTTTTTTTTTCAATATACGAGTTGCAAGTGTTATCTTATCTGGTTATCGAAACTTAGACAACAAAAATCTTGGGTAAATTACAATTACATCCCTGAACTTAGGCTAAATAACGAAAAACACCCCCACCTATCCGTAATAACCAAAATCCCCCTCTGATTAACTGTTGATCGAGTTTTTTATCAGAAATTTGTACAGTCTAATATTCCTTCTGTTAAATAGGTGAGAAATAAAAGAAAATATCTAAAACTGTGTAAAGTCTATTCCCTGGAATAAAAAAAAATCCGTGAAACGTGTCACACGGTAAGGCTGGTGTAAGACGGAAACAAACCTCAGGGGGTTTTTGGTAATTACAAATAGGTGGGAGTGTTTTTCGTTATTTAGCCTAAGTTCAGGGGGGGTTTTTGTAATTTACCCAATAATCTAAGATACAGCTGTGTTATGCCAAAGGGGAATCCACAAATTGCTAAAGAGGAATAAAACACAAAAAAATCAGAAACATGAAGTTCAATTGGACACAAGAAACAAGACTTGTAAATCATCGAACGATGCAATTTTAAGAAGACGGAGAAACATCCAGTAAATAATGAAAGCAACAGTCGTAAACTTTCTTTTAGGATCCAGAAAAAAAGGGGTATTATTTTGAAAGACACAAATTTTACTAGTCAACGCAAAATCACAACATAACAAAGGCTTGGTCGATAAAAAGCTAGAATCTTTGAATATAACATATACTCGTGTTTTCGGAAAAAATCACGACAGTCAAATAAGATTTTCATGCACGTAGTCGAGTAATCTTACTAGATCTCAAATCCAGTAAATTCTTTTTATTTATATATAATCATGGAAAAAGAAGTCAACTTTTGGTTTAATCACTAATCAAGCATTAATCTTTTTCGACCAAAACCTATTTATCGATAGTCAACTAATCAAGCATTACTACACTTAGATCTAAGCGCAATAATATCCACCGCGTCGATATAAACATAATAAACGAAACGGACAAACAAACACTCGAGAATCAAGAATAAATCCGACTTTCCTTCGTTTTCGTCATTAAATAGTGATCAAAATATGCATAATAATATCAAAATGTGCTTGATAAAATCAGCATACACTAAAAAAAAACCCAAATTTCAAGTGCACACAATATCAAATCTTACGACGTTCAATGCACAAGGTACAACTACAATACTCACAAAATAGACACCTCAAATAAAATCGAAAAATAAAAACAAATAAAACAAGAACTACTGGATTATTACCTGCCACAGAAACACTGGATTGGTGCTCCGCTCGGCTTCCTCCGACTCGGCTTCGAGCTTCAACGGAGCGAAGCTCTGCTTCGGAAAGGTCACGGCGACGGGCTTTTCGGTTTCAATTTCGACGGCGGCTGGCTTGATCGCAATCGGCTCGGCGGCTTGAGGGGCGGCTGGCTCAACTTTGACGGCGTTCGTCTTCGGCGGTGGGAAAGGGAGTTTGATTGAACTGAGGACGCTGGTGAAGAAAAGAATAATAGGGTTCTTTTCTCTCTCTTCTTCATCTTCGTGAACTGGGTTATTTTTGGGTTCTTCCATTGTTGTTACTGTGTGAGTTTTTGTGTGTGTGTGTGTGTTTTGCAGAATGGTAGGTTGGGTTTTGATTCAGGGGGGCGGAATATACAATAGGGGGGGCGGGGGGGTGGGGGTGGGGTGGGGGGTGCGTTAAGAGTGGAGACAATTTGGGAATTTTGAGGAGGCATGCGAAGCTTGTGGAACTAAAATTGGTAATTGGGTTCAAACGACGCCGTTTTAGGCGTGGATCAAGATTTCTATTATTAAAAAATAAAAAATTAAAATAAAAAATACGTATCCCATGTCACAATATTTTACATATATAATAAATAAATTGTAGAAGTTAGATTGGATTTGGGAATTAGTAAACGTTTATATTACTTAAGTTCAGTCAATGACGTTGATTAGGAGTGAATATACAGATAAACATTTATAAATTAATATAGTCGGGACTAGCAAAATTATATTGATTTGGCGAAATGTTAAATTATCGAACTGTGAATTTAGTAGATTTTTACTGCGTCCGGACTAGAAAAAACTATTATTTAAACAAAATTATTAATTTATCGAGTATTGGTTTATTGAGATTCTACTGTACTATTTTTTATTTGATTTTAGAATTTATGATTTTTTTTTCTCCGTAATTTTGGATTGACATTGGATGTATCATGTATACACTTCTTATTTTGTCCTTCCAAATCGAATTTTTTTCAAATTGGTTTTAAAAATTCGAAGTTAATTGCAAATGTCTTCATTTTGAGTTCTCTAATTGATAAATATCTCCTGTCAAAATCGAAAAAAAAAATAAAAAATCACCACCGTCTCCCAGCACAACTAAATTCGGAGCTCATTGCACCCATTGTGCGTGCTTGTAGGTGTTAACTAAGAATGAAATGACAAAAATGTCCTAGGAGATTTTTCAACAATCAATAAAAAAATTATCTAATAAGTTTTGTTAGTTTCTACCTTCGTCTCAATTATATTGTAATATTAGTTTCATACACAATTTTGGCAACTAGTTCGTGTTATCGTGTATGTATATGTGTGTGTGTATATATATAGTACCTTGATTCTATTGTCACTTTTTTAAGTTGTGCTTCTCAATTCAGATTGAATTACAACGAATGCCCTATGAAGGCACTATTGATGAAGATCGTGCTATTAGTGTTCATCAAAATCAGAGTATTTCATTTATGAAAATTTACAAGAATTTCCAAAAATAAAATTAAAAAAATTCTCCAATTTATTTTGAATTTTTCAATTTTGTATCAAAAAAGATTTACAGATCCAGTTGGTGCTTAGTGGGTTCAAGTTGGTTATTTTTATGCTACACCCAGTAAATGTTACACCGGGTGTTTATTTATCGTTGATCTGCACATACCAACGTAGGTAAGTATATGTTTTTTATTATATCAATATCAAAGATCTACACGATTTAATTCACCTGATGTAGCATAGTATGAACGGTTCAAGTTGGCTAGCAAACTACATTTTTTTCTCTACATTTTTGGGGGAATTAAAAGTTGGAATGTATAAGCTCAAAAAATTATGTGAAAATAAATTTGTATTTGAATGAGAAATTAGAACTCATGTTACATCTATACAAGCATACAATACCATACATACGAATCAATGATCTTATTTATTGTTTGAAAATATACCTATCTTTTTTTTTTTAATTTAAAGATATATTTCGTATAAATTAAAGGATAGCTACAAAATTAAATAGGGACCTTATATTTTCCAAGAAAATGAAGAGATAATATATGAGGACATGAGACAAAACGTCTTTTATATCCACATGTGATGTTCAACTTCATCGAGTACTATATTTAATATTTTTTATGATTTTATTTATACTTCATTTCATATTCTAGTTCGAATTGTATGGTGGAGGGCGATTTTTGATAGTTTTCATTAATTAGTTTCGAGGCCATAACAATCTTATTAATGATTAAGGGGTAAATTACGGCCACCTCCTCAAGTATGATCAAATTATGAAGAAAAAAAACATCTCTTATTTGGGTAATTACAGTCACCTCTTTCTTTTAAATATTTTTACATAAAATTTATGTAATTCGCTTATTTACCGAACCAAATCGTATATTCAGTTCGGCAAACGGTATGCAATGTTGGCGTACCGAAATTTCGGTTGGGTTTTTTACCGATTTAATATCCCTAAATTTACCTCTGGAGGGGTATTTTCGTAAGATAATACATAGTTGATGGGGTGTCAATAATTACTCAAACATGAGGGGGCTTTTCGTAATTTGACTATAACTTAGGGGTGGCCGTAATTTGCCCATGATTATATTAGTATCTATTATATTCTTAGGCCTCGTTTAATGACTTCTTCGACCCTACACCCGGTGATAAACATCGGGTTCTGTTGCCACGTGGATTTTTTTTTGTATTTTATAATATATTCTCAATTTGGGTTAATGTCATAGGGGCTTCTTTACTCAATAAATTTTCCCCCGTGCGGCCTGATTTGCCCACCAAATCAATCAGCCTTCCTTTCGATTCTCTTCGAACAAAACGCACAAACACAAGTCTTTTAAGCCAACATAAACGAACATAAGAGTATGTAGCGGAAAACAACACACAAAGAATACAAAGGACACTAAGGTGCACACACAAAATCCTTACTCAGAATGCCCACAATTGCAATCTGAACTCTCTAATGCTAGATGGGTCGAATTTGTGACTCATAGCCATATAAATACAAGGAAGCATGTAGTTTTCACATAAAACTACCTAAGGACACTTGGCAGCATACTTGCTTGACACTTGGCTAACTATTACAAGTAATAAGAGGCAGTTTTCATGCTTTCCAGGCCTCAACCGCTCCGCAACTTCCCTCCAAACCTCCCACAAGGCTGGTTTCCGAGGCCCATCTTGATCGGGCGCGCGCGCACGCTCCAAACGGCCCAAAACAGCCCGGCCTGCTGCTAGGCAGCCCATCTACCTTGTCTTTTCCGCACATTTTGCCCCCTTGCCAATTACTTGCCAGTTCTTTGCCCACACGGTCATTAGCATGCCCGCACATCGGGCTGCCTTCCTTGGCTTGCCAACCGGTCTTGCCAACTTGCCCACACTTGTCAAGTCGTGGTCGATTTCCCTCGAACGTTCGTTTGCCCAAGTTCTCGACCACATGCCGATTACTGCCCACGTTTGTCCGCATTCGCTGCCGAGCAACGCTCGTGCCAGCCATAAGTACTTTCGATCACTGTTCCCACTTGAATCAAGCCGATCCTTGCTTTTTGGGACAAACACCCCGAATGATTGCCCAACACTCGACCACTCATTGGACGATTGTGTGACTGTCTTGTGCCAATCCTCACTTGGCACCAATTTCTCGGCCATGACTCGGCCACACACGAGTCATAGCCGATGTCACCGACTAAAGGGGTAACAGTTAACCTCTAGGAGTCTTAGAAAATGAAAAATAGCAAATAGGCCCATGACACAAGGGACTTAATGAACATAGGTCCAGACAAAAAACAGTCTAGCAAATAAATTCATCACATGTCTTTTGTCTAAAATACCCTGCATAATATAATTTTCATCAATTCCATCCATTATGCTCTAACCTCACCAATACCGCACATTGACCCCGAATTTGAACAAATATATCACATTAACCCCTATTTTTATTTTTATTTAAATATTTTTTTTCGGCAAGATTCCAGCGTTGATTTTTTTTTTTTGAAAACTTTTTCCTGCCGGTCAGCCGCTGTTGATTCTTTTTTTTTGTCCGAGATAGTAACATTGAATACCAAAAGAGTAATATTACTAATATTACCGTGTCAAACAATAATACTACTGTCCCGAACACTACTATTACTTCCCCGAATAGTAATATTATGAACATTACTTTCCCGAACAACAATATTACTAATATTACTGTCCCAGACAATAATATTATTGCATGAGACAGTAATATTACGGTCGAAGATAGGGATGGCCATGGGGCGGGTTTGCATTCCCTGCCCCCGCTCTGTTTAAGAAACCCTTCAACCTGCACCCGCTCTGCCCCGCAACGGGTATAAATATTACTAACCTGCACCCGCTCCACCAAAAAACCTGTGAAAAGGAAAGCTGAAGAAAAAAGTAAAAAAAAAATAAAAAAAATTTATTGAATAACCTTGATGAAAACAATAATTCTAAATCCAGATAACAAATGTATTATACTATATTATAATACATGATATAGACTGAAATTATATCTCTCATGCCACAATGCACCCCACATCAATTTCTTATGAGATTTTAAATCCAAAAATCAATATATCACCATATTAACTTTTGAAGGGATTTTCATGCTCCATGGTGTATTATAGTTTTTAGTTTAAGAAAAAATAATTTATGTAAAGCCTTATTTTATTTAATCCATTTAACTACACATTTAAAAACAATTAATAATTTCTAACATTTCTCATTCTATTTTTTTAATATATATTAATTTTATGGAGAATTAGGAGTTTTTGAATTACTTTGAAAATTAAAATTGAATTTGAAATTTTATATACATTTTTTTTAATTCAATGTGAACATATGAATAAATCATCAATTATTTTTTTTGTTTTAAATTTATATACAAGAATAATTAAAATAAATATTAAGTAAGAAAACAAAACATAAAGAAGAATGAAAATTCCTCAAATGTTTAACATCTCACGATATATTATTGAGTTTTGACTAAAATATCACAAGAAATAAGGAATGGTGCATTTTGCGATGAGATATATTTAGTGAGGGTTTTTGCCAATTTTCATATGATAGGGTGCAAAACACCAAACACTGTTAATTATGGGGTGTAAAACGCAATTCACCCATCTACTACTAATATTGAGTGAATCCACTCTTATTATAAAAAAACAAAAGGGATTATCAATAATAACCCTCTATTTAAAGTGTGCTTAGTAATGTTTTTTTCCAATGTGGGATATGTGACTTTTCACCTTCCACCAAACCCTTTGAGATGACTTTAGCTCATTGAAGTATTTAACTTTGTGCATTGATTGCTCATTTATCCCATATTGCAAACGTTGAATTATCTTAATTTGAAAGACAATTAGCGCTCAGGGGTGTTTAATGGG